GGAGAAATCTGAAAGAAGCAACCTCCTTTACCTACCTGGGAAACATCGTTTCAACTACAAGAAGACAGAACTTATGAGGATGTCAAAGTGAGGATCGAGAAAGCAAGGTAAGCTTTCATTACTCTCAAGTCTGTATGGAGACCAACAACACTTCTCAGTATCAAAAATAAGATCCGGATTTTCAACTCCAATGTGAAGTCAGTGCTACTCACTATACGGATCAGAGACTTGGCGCATCATAAAGAGCACCTCAAACAAACTACAGACCTTCATCAACAGCTGTCTTCGCTCAATACGCAAGATCAGAAGGCCGGCCAGAAAAGATCAGAAACAGGGATCTCTGGGAGCAAACCAACCAGGAACCGATTGTGCAACAAATAAGCAGGAAGAAATGGAGATGGATTGGTCATACTCTGAGGAAACCATCAAGTGCCACCAATAGACAAGGGATTGCTCGAATGGAACCAGAAAGGAAAGCGGCTAGGTGGTCGTCAGTACAAGGGTGACTTGGAGGAGGTCATGTGAAGAGGAGATGAAAGCATGTGGGCACACTTCGAGCCAGGTGAAAACTCTGGCAGAGAACCGAACGCTATGGAGACGTTTGGCTGAAGCCCTATGTTCCTCTTGGAATTAAAGGAAATAATAATAATTTATCATTACTATTTATTTGATTCGTGTATTTAAATTAAATGGATGTGAAATTTCCAGAATAATTTCCGGTTAGGCGTCAAATTAATAGAATTAAAATGCCATAATAAAGACGGGGGACGGATAAAACTCAAACAAAGCAGCATCATAATTACTGAGAAGATTGACATACTGTGCAAATAGGGGTTAGAAATGTAGAAATAACAAAAATAAACAGGAGGTTTTGATAAAAAAAATCTAGTGCGATCATAACTAATATGATGAATAATTGTTTATGCAGTTAGGGGTTAAATATGTAGTAATAATAATACGACAAAATATACAGGAACTTCGTATATGAAAATATGGTGATGTAAATAAGGATTAAGACAACTTAAAAATAATACGAACAAACAGGAAATTTCGATGAGAAAGGAAATGGGATAGTCACTGCTAAAAGAATTACCTGTTTATGATGACCATGGCAGGGACAAGAGTTGGACATATTTCTTTTGGATACATAGTGTGGGTTTGAGCTTTTGGATAGCTAGTGCCTTGGCTCTGCCTATATGTCTTGATTTTTCTCCCTTCAATAGGTTTGATCGAATCTTGTATATTATTTTGAAGGATTTTACGAATGGTGCTGTATGTCCTAAATTGACCAAATGTTCTGTCACTGAACTATATGCACGTTTTTGTTCTCTTTTCCTAACCAGTCTGGATAGTGTTCAGGAGGGCGTTTTCCAAGTTTTGAGTTTTATCCGTCCCCTGTTTATTATGGCATTTGGATTCCTAATTGTTATTTTATTAATTTGACCCTTAACCGGAAATTATTCTGGAACTTTCCCACCCACCTATTGTAAATACACGAATGTACAGCCTAGTTGACGGTGACTTCGTCGAGAAGAAAATTTTATTCGCTGCAACTGTCTTTTTATTATCCCCTATGATCAAATGTGTATATTTCGTTATTTGTTTCCTTGAAGTCCCCAGTCGTACATAGAGCTTCACGTTAGAGCTTCTAAGTTTCAGTGGGGTGGAGCTGCTAGCCTCACCTCCAATCTTTTCTGCTTACCAACCTTACTACCGGCTTAGTGAGGTTTCGAACGCCGGAGATAAGACTCTGGACTACTAACGCATTTAAAGATAAAGTACAGTAAACTTCAAGTTATAGAAGTGGTGCCTTATTATGTTTAACATAAGAAATCAGTGTTAAGAAACTGTGACTGTTGTAAGCATCTTTTTATAATCAATCAGAATAAAATGAGACAAAAAATATAAAGGGAATTACTTCCTCAAGAGTTCAATTACTGGGCTTCGTCTATGAGTAACTGTATCAGTGGTAATCTAAACTATGAAAATTTACTGAATTGAAGTAATTGTTTAAACGAGTTGATCAAGGATTGATATCAGTTAGAGAACCATTGAAAACCAGCCACAGGGAGTACTGGACAGCTGTTTCGTTAGCCTAGTTTGAGAATCATCGACAGTACGCACCCACTGGGGTTCGAACCCAGATCAAAAACATGCCAAGTGCTAAGTGAGGCTGTATTAAAACTGTTTATCTAACTGGTGTTGAATTCTTTAGAAATGAATGTCTCTGAATAAACTGTGTATTAGAGAATTATTCCTTTCAAGGGTCGGTTTGCAAGGATTTGATTGGTTTCAGGATTTTATTATGGCTTGACATCAGTTGGAGAACCACTAGGAAACCAACGGAGAGGAATGAACACCTGTTTCACCAGCCTAGTTTAGAACTCTTCACCAGTACACGTCTACTATCAGGGTTCAAACCCAGGACCCTTCAGTTTCAAGGCAAGCTTCATAGATAATTAAGCCACCGAAGTCCGATGCAGTGGCCCATGAATTACTACTTCTGTCAATTCAGGATATAGCACAACTGGCACTAGCGAGTGTCATTCTTGGTGAGTATTTATGCTCACTTCCGACCACTGGGATGATACGCCGATAGTCATGACTTCTCACTAGAACCCAGGTAACTACCTACCTGAATAAGATCAATCGCTAGTGAGCAGCAGATTGATTTTCAAGTGTTGGTTTACAGGGATTTCTTCAATAAACGAAATATTCCTATATTGAGTCATAAGAAAAAGGCGTAAACAGAGGAGAAAATTTTCCCTTTTCGATGATTCATTTTCATTAGCTGCTGTACAATCGTAATAATATTAAGCAAAAAAATCTTTAGATCAATCAGATACTGGTAAATTGTATGGAGGATTTCATCACGAACTGACATCAGTCAGAGAACCACTGGAAAACCTGGGAGTAATGGACAGCTGTTTTGTCAGCCTAGTTTGTGACTGGCTCTTCAACAGTATGCTCCCACCGCAAGGGTTAGAACCCAAGGCCTTCTGATTACAAGGCGAGCTCGCAGACCATTAAGCCACTGAGACCCGATCCAGTGGTCCTTGAATTCTAACTTCTGCCGATTCACGACATAGCGCGACCATTTCACAATGTCTTTTTCGATGAGTTACTACCTCATCTTCAACCTACTGTATCTTACTGGTCACGGCTTCCTACTAGAACCCCAGGTCAACTGCCTCAATAGGGCCAGTCACTAGCGAACATCAGACTAACCATAATGTCCTGGGTTCGAACCCCGGTGGGTGCGTACTGATGAAGAGTCCCAAACTAATGAGACGAAACTGCTGTCCTGTACTCCAAGGTTTTCCATTGGTTCTCTAACTGATGTCAGTTCATGATGAAATCCTCCATGCAATCAAACAAAATCCCCACAAATCCAATACTTGAAATGATACTGGTAAACTTTGTCCTCGACAAACGTATTACGTAATGTGAGGTGTAACCTAGAAGAGATGACTAATTGTAAGATAGAAAAGAGACAGAAGTTGACATGACATCGGATAATGCGGGATAATGACTGGTCAATAAGCTCTTGTAGAATGGACAGGAACTAGTGGAAGACTGATAAAGTGTTTTTATATAATATCTGTGTGAAGAAGGAATGTTATTAACAAACAGTAATAGAGGGGTAATAAAACATGGATGATGGGAATGATAACGATCATAAAATAATAGTAGTAATAACAATAATAATAATAGTAAACCTACATAACAAAAAAAAGAAGAAGCAAGATTATAGTAAGAACGTTTCTCTGGCGACAATATGGTGAGAGAATGTATGTATCGCTTTAAAATGCAGAGGTCTGGTTTCAGATCTCGAATAGCTAATGCTTCAGCCATGTACAGATGGCGTATGCGAAGTTCCTTTGTACGATACTGAGGGACTGTGTGTAGCACTGTGAAGCATTCATCCAGAGATGACATGGTGTGTCGAGGACAGAGCTGCTGATATTCTTCTTTTCTCCTCTACCCCTTTTCTTACTTACAATTAGTCATCCCTTTTAGGTTTAACCTTAAATTATGTAATACATTTTTCGAGGACAAACTTCACTAGTATCTGAGTGGTCTAAAGATTTCCTTGTCTAAATATAATTACGATTATTGTACAGCAGCTTATGAAAATGAATCGTCAAAAAGGGAAAATTTCTTCACTCTTTATGCCTTTTCCTTATTACAGGGATTTGACAATAAGTTTGGCTGCTTTGATTTACTTAACACAAACTAAAATTATAATTAATAATTTCATTGACGGCATTACGAATAGAATACAAGGTGTTATTTTAAGGGAGTTTAGGTACTAGTTCGGGAGTGTGTCAGTTGGGTGTCAAACCCCTTCTACCAAACTTCTGACAAATATCCATGGATCTACTACTATAGGCGACTAGCATTTATAACCCATAGGATAGATCGATGAATCAATCACCTGTCAATCTACCAAATATAGAATGTCATTAGACTGCTGACAGTAATCAACACTATCATATTGAGTTGTGTTCATTACCTTTTTGACATTAAGTTGTGTACTATACACCTGCTTCGTCTGTTGTGAAGAGGCCTTAAAAAATTAAAGTTAAACTGAAGGTGTGAAATATTCTCTTAATAATTTTATTTTCTTACCTTCACGTTCCCCAGTGGAAAATAGAGCCTCAAGCTAGTGGCTTGAAGTTTCTGTAGCAGTGTGTATATTTTTACAGGATGGGGTTGCTAGCCTCCTCATGCCCAACCTTTCCTCTTTACTAGCATTATTTCTGGCTTAGCGAGGTAAAGGAGTGCGTCGGCCGGGCGGGGATAGAACCTTGGACCATGTGCATGGTTGACGAGCGTCCTAATCTCCGTGCCACAGATGCACCTCTTAATACTTGCTTAATAATTAATTCTGTAAAACTTTAAAAACCAATAACGTCTTAATGAAACAACTTGTCAACTGACATTGATTTTTTTTATTGACTTTTTCTTTTTTTACTTCTTTTTTTTACACGCTTTAGTTTTAAAATTACCCTATCCTGAGGTTCGAATGCATTTATGGAGTAAAATGCGTATTATCCTTCGATATATCTACCAATATCGTAATGATTATGATTATTTCTTGAAGACAGATGATGACACGTATGTGATTGTAGAGAATTTATTAGATGTCTTACAAAATTATTCACCTGATATGCCTTTTATGCTAGGGCATAGATTTCCTGTAAGTAAAGTATTGCTATCATTATTAATATTATTATTACTACTATTGGTATTGTTATTAAACTTCACTATTCAGTGTTCGTCTATGTGGAAAGTACTAAAATATAATAAAAAACACGAATTATTTGTGTAACATCACATACTACTGATTGACTCAAATGAGTAGTTGCATGCCACTCATATCAACCAACAGTACTTACTAACCACAGAAATCGAACTGATCTGAAGACCAGACAGCCGTTCCTCTAGTTTGAGGCTGAGCTCATCAGCTGCGTTCGTGGTTAGACTCAGCCGCCAAAGAGAAATTGGTTGAAACGACCCAAATATTTGTCTAGCTATTCAAGTATTGGTTTGTAGGGATTTGATTGAGTGGTTATAAGATTTCATCATGAGCTGACATTGGTTAGAGAACCATTGAAAATCCAACTGGGAGTACTGCCAGACGGCGGTTTCGTCAGCCTAATTTTGGACTGGCTCTTCAGCAGTGCGCTCCCATCGTCTGGGTTAGAACACTAGACCTTCTGATTACAAGGCGAGCTAGCTCATAGACCATTAAGCCACTGGGACCCACCTTATCCAATGGCTAGCCAATTCACGACATAGCGCGACCGCTAGCCAATGTCTTCGGCACGTATTTGTCCTCACACCCTATCTGCTGCACCCTACTGGTTACGACTTCTCACTAGAACCCGGGTAACTACCTACCTGAATAGGACCAGTCACCAGTAAGCGATACTTGAATATCGATGAGGTTCTGACTGATGACTGGCCCTATTCAGGTAGATATTAGTCAAGACATTTCAAAAATGTGATGGGTAATCAAACTGTAACCAAAGGGAGTGAAGATCTGCATGACGGTAGTAATGATGTGTTGTCAAAAAACATAGTTACTAACGTTAATCAACACATAAAAGTAGTGGAATAGGCGTGATGCAGTTATGTAATAAGATGAATAGTTTAATGAGTGAGTTGTGATTAGGATGTACATAGAAACAAAGGAAAATATGGAATTATGTAATAGTTCTAAAAATTACCAATGGTTTAAGGAGTTAGAAAGAAAGAAACAAACAAACACAGAAACATCAAGTAAGTAGGAGTTAACACGGTTGTTACCATGGTGGTTGGATGATTTTCATTTTCTGAATGCATAGCTCTCGTTTTCCCAACTGAATGGTTAAAGCTTCATTAATACAAAAGAGACTAAAGCGTATTGTCTTTGATAGGTAGGTTGTTCTTCTCTTTGTAGATCACTTTGGAGGAGGAGGCGTTTGTTGAGATGAAATGATCAGTGTTGACGAGATGCTTGATTATTGCACACCTTATACATCCAACATTACCTATTTGTAGCTATGAGGGATAGTGTTCTTGAACGTTTTTGGACAGGATACGCGTCGAACGACCAATGTATCTGACTTTACAACAATAGGTGAACTGATATATGCACATAAGAAGAATTGGCCAGACGTAGGATCTAGTCCTTAAGACTTGTGCAGATCAACGGACTAGCGACTGGAGAACACTCCGTTTATTGTTGGTGCGAAGAATGTTCTTTTGAAAGGTGCTGAAATCCTTGTCTTGAATGAGGATATCGCCAGCTAAGTTTTTCTTGAAATCCATATTCGTGTAAAGTAAACAAGCGATTTTGCGTTCCTCTGGACCTTTGGTTTGATATTCTTGTCGTTGAATCTTTGTGGGTTTCCATTTTGGATGAAGATTTCTTCCAGAAGATCCAGTTCGTTAATATTCATGGCAATTTCCAAAGCATTGCTTTTGAGAACTGATATTATGTATGAATCAAATTCTCAGTTTATACGGATCAAAGTGAATACTTCACGACAGTTTCCTATCAAAACGAAAACTATTCATATCACAATTGTATAGATTGCAGAACGTGAATTAACTTGTAAATTACGAATTCAGTGTACGGTATAACGAGTCCGCTCAAGTAGCTAGCCAGATATCAGATAGTTTGAACTGATTCACACGGAGAACACTACCGATGAACTTAGCTCCAAATGACCAAAACAGCTATCAGGTGTTTATGTAATTTCAAGTGATATCCACTACTAGTCGTGTTGATTAATCAGTAGTATAAAATGATAATGTGAATAATCAGTCATTTTAACTGATTAAAAATGCCCATTAAAATCTTCAAAAGAATGGATACTGAACAAAGAATACTCTTTTCGATAACTTTAGCATCAGACTCTACAGTTATATATACATTATAGTGAATGAATTAGTGTTATGAACAACATTAATGTTGCTGTTTAAATAACATCGAATCAATCATACTGATAGATTACAGCTCAATAGCATCAAAATAACAATAAACTGAATGTCAGAAAGGCAAATTAGGAAAGATAATATTACAAATTCATGAATTTCTAGTCTCTACTGAAGGCCGATCAGGGCAGTGGTAGTGGCTGGCTGGACTTGCTTCTTTTGAACACAGAGCACTGGTTGTTTGAGGCGAATTGCAATAACCTCTGCTGTTTGGAGCATGCGGTGCTTCGATGATGGTTTTGACAATTTATTAGGCGCCCGGTAGATGGTGATAGAGAAGGATTCCTTCACGCTGACTGGCTTTGTGGCCGGTTTGCACCAGATGGTCCAATATCCTCAGGCAGATACACTCAAAAGTGGCTAGTCTAGGTACTTCATTTTTCACTTGAGGAATCACCATTGGTCCTGTAGAGAATAATACGTGTAGTTCGCCAGCATTAAAATTTCTTTGAACTGGTTTCCTTAGCTTTCTTTGTCATTAATTCGCTAGGTATATCACCTCTGAATTGCAGTCTTATGTATATAAGCTTCTTGTTGACGGATAGTGAGTAGTCCTTTCCGCTTTGTTTGTCAGGTCTTTCTTGATAAATTTGTCGGGATAGCTATTTTCAATCAATCAAGGTATCATATACAATGCTTAATTCACCTTCAATTACTTCTTCTGAGCATATAGCTCTAACTCTGTAGCTGAGGGTCTTTGTTAAATTTCTTTTGTACTTGAGAAGAATGAAGCTGTTAAAATGTGTGTATACTATCCTGTCCAAGTACTTTTTCTATGCAGATTTCTTTTTATGCTATACTTTTAAATCCCTCTCCCCCACCCCGCCTTAGAGACAATGTTTTTGACATATCTTCTTTGTTATTTTTTTTTTTCATAGGTTAATGCTCGAAACGGTTATTTTTCCGGTGGTGCAGGTTATGTTCTGTCAAGAGAGGCGTTGAAATATTTAGTTGAAAGGTCTATTGATAAACATCCTTATTGTCCAGTTTATGATGAGAATATGGAAGATGTAAAAATGAGTAAGTGAGAGATAATTTAGAAAACAAAAGTGATTGTTAAAAGCCTATACAACTCTATTATAGTCTAAATTGTTGCCCTTGTAGTGTGCGTAATATATAGATAGGTAATGCTACGAACTGAAATGACAAACTACATAGTTATACGACTCTAGTCGACTATAGGACAGTCAGCTTTCAGTCCTTGTGTTGACTTAGTGATGAGCTTTAATCACATATCAGATTATATTTCCAACTTTCTTTACTTCTCTGTCACATGAACACTTGTGTAGCGGGAGAAGGTAAAAGACAGAATACTTTACCAGGAATTTGATATACATATAGGGAAGTTATCTAATTTGACTAAGTATTAAAACCGTCATTTGCACAGATCTTCCATGTTGTGCACTGGTTCTACCCTCCCTATGCACTCTGTTTCTCTGTCTTCTTTTCGTGTTTTCCATGGTTTGCCGCAGTAGGGGGTTCATTTCTTACCTTTTTGACATCAAATCTGTCTGTCTGATAATTGATAATTTTGTGCTAATGAATGTCTCTTTATTTGTAATAAGTAGTGTTCTCTGAGCTGGTTGGTTTATTTGCGGAGCTTTCGTCAGCCACCCACCTAGACAACATCCTCTTTCAGCGAAATTTTCAACATAAAGTGAAATGATTCAAATTTTTTCCATGAGTGATAGAATTGCATCTCCTGGTAACCGTCTTTACATATGCATTGATCTTTTTTTATTGACTTGTATTGTAAACTTTCTTGTCACATGATTTATTTTCTATTAGTTGATAGATTTGGTCTATATTAACATGTTTGTTAGTCGCATATTCATTTGATTATCAGGCTTCTAGGAATTCGCTGGCACTTTTGGTGTTTCCTCTGTTTAAAATCTCGACATTATCCCAGTCAAATTGGTGTCCATAATTATCTGTATGCATTGATATGAAAGAATATATATCATGTCTTTTCATCACAGCTAGTCTGTTTTCCTGGATTCTGATTCGAAGGGACACCCACTCTGGCCGATGAAATGTCTGTTACTGTTCATACATGCAATTTATTTTGTAAATGGTATTAATTTTATCTCTTTTTTATGTTGGATCTTCCAGTTTGCATAATATCGAATTAAGTTATTTGACTGGCTTGTGTGCTATATGTATATCAAACGGTTTCAACATTCCAACTGTTATATATTCACTACTGATAAATCGTGTCAGTAGCACCCGCCGCATTTCTATATTGATACGAAAATGTTTAAATTTGTCTCAGCAATACCTATTCATCGGTTGTTTCATCCTACCAGATAAACAGAATTGGAAGGTTTAAAACAGTGGAACAAAGGGCTTCAAGCTAGAGCTTTAAAGTTTCACTGCTAGTGGTTTTATGTCTACAGGGTGGATTTGCTAGCCTCACGTTCAACCTACCCTCTTAACTGACGTTTCTACCAGCTTAGCGACGTTTAGGCGAGCTTCGGTCTGTGATCGAACTTCCAGACCAAGTGAGGCGTGACTGGAGAGCTTTCTACCTCTGAACTACCCATATACAGTTAGTCCCTTTAAAAGAATTGGTTAAAGTTTTTATTAAAAGACAGAGTCAATCTGAAAAATGTGATGTATTTATGCAGTACACTTTGAACAATCTGATGGTCATGCAATCAAATTATGTGAAGACTGGAAGCAGCTTACAGGCTGTTCGTCAGTGGCACAGCGGTTAGGATGCTTGCCAACCATGAACGTTGTCCGGGGTTCGATTCCCGGCCGATATACACCTGGCATCAATGGTTGGCCTGCTAAATTTAGGCCACCGATATCGCACGCTGAAAATTCCATATTTGCACCGAAAATACTGAATGGAATTAAGCTATAATAAAATGAAAAAAATAAATAATAAATAAAGTAAACGAAATGGTTGGAGATTTAATGAATAAGAATAATTAACACTTTTATTGGTGATAAAATCAGATAAGAATTACCAAGGCAGTCTGAGGAGTGGTAATAATTTGTTTTTGAGCATACAAGTGAAGATCAGGCTGGTCAATTTTATGAGTAGCTATCGCCTCAACATATTTCAGTCGGCACTACTGAATGTTCTTATAGATGATCTTGAAAGCTGTTTTGATATCAAGCTTAGGATTCATATCAATTATTTATTATTTTATTTTTTATTACAGCTTGATTCCACACTGTATTTTTGGTGCAAGTATGGAATTTTCAGAATGGATATCGGTAGCCCAAATTTCGCAGGCCGACCATAGATATCAGGTGTGCGTTGGGAGGGGATTGAACCTCAGACCATGTGCATTGTCCGCGATAGTCCTAGCCACTATGCCACCGACGCACTGCCTTGCCATCTGCATCTATTGAATTATCACAGATCAGCTGTTCTTTAGGGCATTTAGGTATATGTTCACCCAACCTCAGTTGCATGGAACAGATGCTCCTCCCTATTGAATGAGAAGATCCAGCTAGATAACGAGTGTAAAGATGTTGAACGAACTGTTACATCTCAATTATTTTGCGAGGGTACAAACAAAACTTAATCAGTTTCGAAAGCAAAAGATTTGGGCAAAGAAATACTTACTTTTCAATTAGATCCTCATCTCACTCTGACTCTACTCTAATATACACATACATGTGGCATTTTTATCACAATACTCAAATGAGTACCAATCAAGTGGCAGTGATATGTTTGTTTGTTAACAGTAATTAGTCAGTATCAACATGTCAAACACAAGGAGTGGTAATTAACGAAGCAAATTAATACACACAATTCAAAGGTAGAAATGGTTACAACACATGGATTACGTAATGCATAATTTCGTAAAAATAAAGAGTAATTAAGGAATAAGCGTGTGCACAGGTTGCTTACGTAACAGGTTGTTGAGGAAAATAAAACAATTTGGACAATGATAATTTGTAACTAATGGTGAAGTGGACATAAGAATCAAAATAATTTGAACAGTTATAATTTTTTAAAATTTTGGGGGAAGGGGGCGAAGTAGTCTGGTTTATACATTCATGTAACGATGGCCAAGATAAGGAAAGTGGCTGTACAAATTTCTTCTGAGGACACAGGTCTGCTTGGCTTCTTCAGGTGGATTCCTACTGCTTCAGCTGTATGTAGAAGACGAACACCACTGACATTTTGATACTCACTAGTTATTGTTAACAAACATATCAATGCCATTTGATTGGTAAATTGTTTTGTATAGTAATAAAAATGCCACACGTACGTGTATATTAGATTAGAGCCATAGTGAGATGAGGATTGACTTGGAGATTAAATATTTCATGGAGGATTTAATCATGAGCTGACATCAGTTAGAGAACCACTGGAAAACCTGAGAGTACTGGACAACTGTTTCGTCCTAGTTTGGGACTCCTCAGCAGTACGCACCCACCACAGGGATTCGAACCCATGACCTTCTGGTTACAAGGCGAGCTCGTAGACCATTGAGCCACTGGGACCCGATCCAATGGTCCTTGAATTCTAACTTCTGCCAATTCACGACATAGCGCGACCACTTCGCAATGTCTTCTTCGATGAGTTACTGCCTCATCTTCAACCTGTTGTACCCTACTGGTCACGGCTTCCTACTAGAACCACAGGTTAACTGCCTGAATAGGGCCAGTCACTAGTGAGCATCAGATTAATTTTCAAGTATTGGTTTTTGTAGGGATTTTGTTTGATTGCATGGAGGATTTAATCATGATTTCTTCGCTCAATCCTTTTGCTTTGTAAATGTCTAAATGGTAATTTATTAATAATCTTAGTGTCATAGTTTAGTTATGATAGTATTCAGTCATTAAATCAGAGTCCACTACTTTGGGTTCTTTTATATTGTGAGTTTCTATTAGAATTTGAAACATCACTTTATCAAATAAAGATTAGTCAGTCTCTTATTTAATTCAGTTTGAACTTCTCCGTTCTATCCCAGGTTGACATATCGGCTACTTGTATGCATACTTCGAAAGTGTGTGAGGACATAACTTGAAGTAAATTTGCGGATGATGAATAGCAGTGGAGTCCACCAGGATGTGAATTTCCTACCATTATTTAGGACTCATCTCCCAGCTAGCTGGATGTACCTGCATTCCCCAGTGAGTGAGTAATGGCGTTCCTACTGGGGCTCGAACTTGGTACTCATTATTTCATCCATTGACAAGTGGATAAGACTTTGGCATTTGAAACGTCTGGTACTGGGTTCAACTCCCACTTAGAACACCGTCACTCACTCACTCACTCACTGGGCGATGCAGATACATTCAGTTAGCTGATAGACGAGTCCCAAATAGTGAGACGAAATGCACATCTTGGTGGATTCCACTACTAGTCACCATCCAGGAAATTAGTCTGTCTCACCAACAATACAAACTGCTAGACAAGTCTCGGTTTTTACAACTAAGATTAAAAGTTGTTGTGATTAACTTCTGTAAATGTCGCGATAAGGAAACCAAATCAAATGTATTCAGCAGTCACATTAACTGTGTACGCTTATTAATACTGCAATTTTGAAATATAACATAGCCGGGGTAAGCAAGCAGTGAATAAGAATAGATCTAATTGCTTTCACAGAATATGCCGTCTTTATGAACACAGAGAGAAGATGGAGGTGATGACGATAATGAATTAGCAGCAGCAGCAACAACAACAACAACAACCAGCACCAATCACCATCAAGGGGAGAGATTTAACAGAGGTTGCCTCCTCCACTCATCTAGGAAGCATCGTTTCAACTACAGGCGGACACGATGGATGAAGATCTCAAAGTCAGAATCGGAAAGGCAAGATACACATTCATCAACCCGAAAACAGTTTGGAAATCTTCTGCACTCAGTCAGCGTAAACAACAAGATTCGAATTCTCAACACCAATGTCAAGTCGGTCACTGTTTCTATGCGGGTCAGAAACTTGCACTGCATGTCACGAAAAGGAATTCCAAAAGGTTACTGAAGACTTTCATCAACAGCTGCCACCTTCGCTGGCTCCATACTGAAGATCAAATGGCCAGCTGGCC